GGTCAAATATGTGAAAAACATTAAATAACTTCTTCTGAATAACCAAAATGCACAGGGTGATGATATTTGGCCAGTAGCATACTAGGATGAAGGGCTACAAAGTTTGTTTAAATGTATGACCTTGAATCATATTCAAGGTCACAAGGAGCAAATATGTTCAAAATATTTAAACAACTTGTTCTGAAAAACCAAAAGGCTCAGGATGTTGATATTTAGTCAGATCAAGGACTACTATGTTTGTTAAAGTGAATTATTTGACTTATATTCAAATTCACAGGGGTCAGATTTGTTTAAAATCTTTAAACGACCTCTTCTGAATAATCATGGGTCCCAGGATGTTGATACTTTGCAAGTTGCATACTGAGATGAAAGGCTATACAATTTGTTCAACATAATGACTCGGTCGACTTTCAAAATAACAGGGGTGAAATGTTTTAAAATCTTTTAACAGGTTCTCTTGAATGACTTAAATCATAAATACTGATATTTTGCCTGTAGCTTTATTTTAGATCACTTTTAAGGTTGCAAGTGTGAGATTTATACCAGGTGAGCGATGCAGGCCCATTGGGCCTCTTGTTTAATAAATCACATCTGCAATTGGCCTTTTTTTTTGAAATATTTGATTTTTAACCAAACAAATATAAAAATCAATATCTAATTATACAACGTCAAGATATAATCAAACTAAAGTAGCATGTGTTCCACAGTGGTCCGTTTAATTTGATTGATTTGTATCTTTCTCGCAACAGCCAGGGTCATATGAGACCGGGTGCTTAGTGCGACACCACTGGAAACAGAAATTAGATAGAAAAGAAAGAAAACATGAAAGAGCAATGGGAGCAACATATCAAGTGTTGTCTTTTCCATGTCTCCGTCGCAGAAGACACGAAAAACAACCTCGATTCTGCAGGAGGTTACGCATTAGTCGCCTCTTACGATACACANCTCCCGACCCCCCCATCCCACCCCCCGATATCTCCCAGGTAGAAGTTGAAGTTAGAGAAGAAACCACCCGCGATTCTGGAGGGCCTCTTAGGATTCTATAGTTGGATGCATCAGGCTTGAATTGTACACAGACATACTTTTTCTTACTTGCGTTTTTCGCATTTACTACCGCGAAAATAACCAAACTCGATAATATAGATTTCAGGTTCATGTGTTTGCCTACAGCGCCAAAGGATGGGGATGTTATTATGTCAACAGACAATTCCAAGAACATGTCGGTCTTAAGTCTGCTATATAACAACGCAAAGTGTTAAAACTAAACACATATACAAACAACTGACGTTAGTGCAACGATGCATAAAAGGTAGGTCTGTCACACGTACTCGTTGAAATGACGACACGCCAGCAACATAAATATAAATGTTAATCTATCTACGTGATTATATGTAAACACGTTTTTAGTGTTGAAAATACTGCATAGCTGAGGGAGATTGTTCGTGTGAAGTGTCAGAACGGTTCATTCACACACCTTCGATAACATTCATTAGCATACCATTCGAGTTTCACTGGCATCATATATCCCCTATAGCTTATAGATCAATGTATGACACACACAGCACATCTTAAATTTGATAATAGGTACAGTTTGCCGAAATGAATCATAAATCCTAGATTTACACAAAGACATAGGAAATGTATCATTTCGAAGCATGAATATTAGCCACTAAGTTAACATTTTATCCAGAGATACAAGGATTTAGCAGCAAAATGTACCTTTTCAATCGTGGTCCTCCTATAGCTAGCTCCTCGCCTCACAGTATCGGTGTATACTGGGAGATTATATACACCTACAATATATACACTATATTTAAATGGCATGGTCCACTGGAAACGTTTTATCATACCTTCACCCATCATTGACACAACATGTACCCCACATGATCACTTTACTGTATAGTCCCTGCAGGTAGGGCGTAAGAATTGTACTTGCTACATGATCGTAAGTGGCGATTAAATTTGGGATCTTTTCTTTTCTCTTCTCTATAAACAACTTTCTTCTTCCTAATGTCTCCATTGACAATGCCTCACCTTTGGCCTTTAGTTGAGCTTTCGCCCCTATGAGGAAGGCTCTGGGTTCTGTCCCCTGGCCTAGACATACCAAAGTCTGTAAAAATGGTAGTTTCTACTCCTGCTTAACGTTCAGAAATTTAGGAGTGGGACGACTGGTTCGCCCGTTGTCAGTGTAATGTGATCGGGTGGGGTGACCTGCTGAGTGTATTCGGCAGTATGTTTCAGTGAGGTAGCACTATAAAGTCGGGTCAACCAAGACTGTTTTCTTCTTTCCAGATATTCTACAATAAATTATAACAACAGGGCTATCTACGATGATCATTTCAGACTTCGACAAACCGACAACCATGCAGTCTGCCGCTTTACAGAGCTTATCCCCGTCTCCCTGAAAACAGGCGGCACTGCTAATGTCATGACTATCATAAACACTTGCATTGTACGCTGTAACTATTTACAAACCCTTCCATAACAAGAGATCCCAGAAGGCACCCTCCATCATAGAATCTTTATTTGATCCACAAAAGATGATCTTTTACCTTCGTTGCTATTTATTTTCCTTACAGGTACTACCCAATATTACTCAGTCCATGCTGGAAATCCTAAACAGGAATCTTGTACGTTAACAGTCTTGTTATGTTATATGTTATTTGCCACTATGACGAATGTTGTTTTATAAGAATTGCATGACTATATGCAAAATCTTACATAATTGTAGGCGGATTGGTCGATTGGTTAACACTTCGGTCTTCCATGCAGGGGTTCGATTCTCGACGTCGACGCACGCTTTGAATATTCAGAGAAAGTGTTTCTTCCTGCACACACAATTCCAACAACACAAGTGGAGTATAAAATGGTCTGGGGTGGATGTTGCGGTATCTGTGCAGTAGCATTCAAGTGAGGTGGCACTATAAACGATGCCGTTGGAAGCACGGTCCCACTACAAAGAAAACACAATACATCTCAAACACACATGCAGACATACACACATAGGGAGATATTAGCCAGGTGGTATAGGGCTAGTAGTTAGCGCCTGATAAGGCAGCTCCTGCGAATTCCTCAAATTTGTATTGATTAATGTATATGATAATTGTATGAGTTGTATATCTACGTACTGTAAAACACTTTGAGTGGCTTATGTAGCTAGATAGGGCGCTATATCAAATTTTTACAATAATAATTAGAATTAATGTCAGTGACTGACGAGTTCTTATTAGGGCCAGGGTTATTTTTAACAAGAGGCCTAATGGGCCTGAATCGCTCACCTGGTGCTAAATCCCACACTTGTAATCTTAAAAGTGGACTAAAATACAGCTACAGGTAAAATATCAGTGTTTGATTCAAAAGAATATATTCAAACATTTAAACATATGACCCCTGTGACCATGGCAGTGGAACAATGACATTAAGTTGAACAGACTGTATAGCCTGTTATCCACGCTTGCTTCTGGCAAGATATCAATACCCTCGATTTATGGTTATTCAGAACTTCTTAAAAGATTTCAACATATTTGACCCCTTTGACCTTCAATATAACTCATATACATGTAGATCATTCATTTGAACACACTTGGTAGCCATTCATCCCAGCATGTTACTGGCCAAATATTAACAACCTAGGCCTCTTGGTATTTCAGAAGTTATTTAAGGTTTAAAACATATTTGACCCCTGTGACTTTCAATGAAATCAAGGTCATTCATTCGAACAAACTTCGAAGCCCTTTTTCTTAGCATGCCACTGGAAAAATATCGTCATCGGAGGCTTTTCGGTTATAAAGAAGAAGTTGTTAACAGTTTTCAACATATTTTATCCCTGTGACCTTGAATATAAGTCAATGTTATTCATTTGAATAAACCTGGTAGCCCTTCATCTCGGCATGCTACTGGCCAAATATCATCACCCCAAGCCTCTTGGTTACTCAGAAGAAGTTCTTCATCCAAGCATGTTACTGTCCAAAAATCGTCACCCAATGCCCGATTGTTATTCAGAAGAAGTTGTTTAAAGATTTCTGACATATTTGACCCCTGTGACATTGAATATAAGTCAATATCATACCTTTGAACAAACTTGGTATCCCGTCATCCAAGCATGTTACTGGCCAAATAGCATCGCCCTAGACCTCTTGGTTATTTAAAAGAAGTTGTTTTAAGGTTTTGAACATATTTACCTCTGTGACCTTGAAAATGTGCGATGGTCATTCATTTAAACACACTTAGTAGACCTTCATCACAGCATGATTGTGGCAAAATAACATCCCTCCCAGTCTTTTTAGTTATTCTGAAGAGGTTGTTTAAAGGTTTTTGACATATTTTACACCTGCAAACTTGAATTAAAGTCAAGGTCATTCATTTGAACAAACTTACTAGCCCTTCATCCCAGCATGCATCTGGCAAAATATCAATATCATAGGCCCCTTTGTTATTAGGGAAAAAACTGTTTAAGGTTTTGAAACAAATTTAACCCCGGTGACCTTGGAACATAAATCAAGGTCATTCAATTGAACAAATTCGATAACACTTCATGCCAGCATGTTTCTGGCAAAAATATCATCCTAGGCCACTTTGTTATTTAAAAGAAGTTGTTATGGGCTGAAAACATAGTTGACTTCTATGACCTTGAATATAAGTCAAGGTCTTTCATTTCAACAAACCTGGTAGCCCTAACTCCAAGAATGTAACTAGCCAAATATCATCACCGTAGGCCTATTCGTTATTCAGAAGAAGTTTTGTAAACGATTTTAACATATCACACACCCATGACCTTACAAATGAACGAAGGTCTTTATCCAAGTACATTACTGCCCAAATATCATCATCCTAGGCCTCTTGGTTATTCTACAGAAGTGATTTACAGTTTTCAATATATTGGACCCCTGTGACTTTATTCAAGGTCATTAATTTGAACAAAGTTGGTAGCCTTTCATCCCAGCATATGACTGGCTAAATATCATCATCATAGGTTTTTTGGTTACTGAGAAGAAGTTATTTAAAGTAAAAATTTGATTTGGCACCTTCTCGTGATGGTCTTTATAGGAACAATTGATTGTCAAAATCAACCATACTCAAGTGAATCTTAACGTGATCATGATTAATAGGCTGAAAAGTGATTTGATCAGATAGTGTCAAGCAGCTGCATCCACGAGTCCAGGATGGCTTGAGGATTGATAAATAGTGTGAATTCAATAGAGGTGGATGACATCGTAGAACAGCCATCTAATATGGACTGTTCAGACTGAAAATCGTGGTCCCTCAAACAGTTGAATGTTTTAATTTCCGATTTCTTATTTGGAAATAGTCGTTAAAAGTGAATAATTGATATATACAACCACTTTGGCAGACTAACATGTATGGTCTTAAGTAATAATTACAGTTGGACTTTAATAATCAATTTCTCTGTACCATTAGTGATTTATATTAGTAACCCATCTTGAGTCAGACTTGAAATATCACTGATATAGAAGTTGTAAGCTACAAAGTTGTCTGACCAAGAGTAACAAGAGGCCCAGAGGGCCTATATCGCTCACCTGAATAATTAAGCAATCATAGCAAAATATTATTAAACTGTACTACAAATATTTCACTCGCAAACTTTGTTGGCTCCATCCGTTGAAGCTACAAGCCGAATATTATTATAATATGATTCTATGCTTTTTCTTCAGAAGTATTTAGTGTTGTAAGTAGGTCAAGGTCATTTTCCTTCGCAAACTTTGTTGGCTCTATCCCATGAAGCTACCAGCCAAATCGTATGAATCCATGCCTTTTGGTTCTTCAGAACAAATCGTTTGAAATGTTGTTGACCTCTGTGAACTTTTGAGTAAGTTGAGGTCATTTTCATTTGCAAACTTTGGTGAGCTCTATCCAAAGAAGCCACCAGCCAAATATTATGATTGTATGCCTTTCGATTATTCAGAAGAAATTGTTTGATGTTTTTGACACATTTGACCCATGTGACCTTGAAAGAAGGTCAAGGTAGTTTTCATTTGCAAACTTTGTTAGGCTTCATCCTAGGAAGCTACCAGCTAAATATTAAGATTATATACTTTTCAGTTTTTCAGAAGTTGTTTGTTTGACACATTTGACCATTTAAACACCTGTGACTTTGAAAGAAGGTCAAGGCCTTTTTCGTTCTCAAACTTACGCGCTCCACCCCCAGAAGCTTCCAGCCAAAAAATAAGATTATATAACTTTCAGTTCTCTAGAAGAAGTCGCTTGAAGTTTTCTGTTTGACATATTTGACCCCGTGACCTTATAAGGAGATCTAGGTTATTTTCATTTGCAAACTTTGTCAGGTGCCATCCCAGGAAACTATCAGCCAAATATTATAAATCTATGCTCTAAGATTATTCAGAAGAAGTTGTTTGAAATGTTGGATACATTTGATTCCTATGACCTTTAAAGTAGGTTTAGGTCATTTTCATTCTCAAACTTAATTGAGCTCCTACCAACAAAGCTTTCAGCCAAATTTCATAACTCTAGGCCTTTTCATTCTTTAAAAGAAGTTGTTTAAAGGAATTTTTTACAGATAATGGACGCCGCACCACAACATAAGCTCACTTGCGCTTTGCACGTTATCTAAAAAGGCGACTAATGCGGGACCCCCTGCAAAATCAGGGGATTTTCTTCTCCGGCTTTTGGTATGGGGACATCAAGAAACCAAAACTGATATGTTGTCCCATTTGCAGCACTTGGGAACAGTACAGTTCTTCTTTGTTCCAAATTCTTTCTTTTCGTTGTTGTCTCCCAAAGCACTTGTCTTTATTTGACCTAAGCTGTTG